AGGCAGAAATTTGAGGCCAGCCTGAGCTACGTAGTAAGTTGTAGGCTACCCTTCTCTGTCTCAAAAAATTGCAAAGATTAACTCAACAGTTTGCAGATGAAAAAAAAATTGCAAAGAACTCTCCCTGAAACCTGTCAAAGTCAGCAAAACAAGGAATCTGGGAAAGTTGGGAAATTGTCTAAATCAAGAGGAGCCTGGGCTGGGGATGTAGCTCAATGGTACAGCATCTGCTTGGCAAGCATGAGGCCCTGGGTTTGATTCTTGGTACTAAAAAATAAATAGAGCTTAAGTAGACATGATTCAATATAATGTGATAATCCTGTAGGACTCTAGAACAAAGGACATGAGTGAAAGATGGACATTAGTTAATGATAATTGTACCAATTAATCTATTTTTTTGTCTTTTTGAGACAGAGTCTTGCTATGCAGCTCAGGCTGGCCTTGATCTCACTTTGTAGCCCAGGCTGGTCTCAAGCTTGCAAAGGATCTTCCTGCCTCAGCTTCCCAAGTGCTGGAATTATAGAAACGAACCACCATGCCTGGCTAACCCCTTTTGCTACCTGGAATCAAACTCAGGACCTCATACTGACCAGCCAGATGCTGTGCCACTGAGCTCTATCCCCAGCACAACCCCCCATGTTGAAATAGGAAAATTATTTCTAACCTTTTTGCAGTGCTGGTAATGGTATCCAGGGCCTTACCTGGGCTAGGCAAGTGCTTTCCCACTTGACTACACCCAAAGTTCTTGTATCTAGTATTTTAAAGTACAGTCAGTAACATTGCAATGCATGGGACAGTGTGTGCTAAGCGCCCTGTCCACACCCAACACCATGTCACCATCATGAGGGACCTGTGTTTTGCACTATGTACACTCATTGCTGTAGTCACAGAGTTATGTGTCAGAGGTCAAACTTGATCCCTGGTGTGTCTGAATTTGAGGCCTCTGAGCCTGTTCTTTGCTGACTTGAGACTAGAGAATTGCTGTCTTTATGGCTGGAGAGAGTTGGCCTCTCCCATGGAAAACTTCGAGAGGTGAGTGTCTCACACAAACTGCACCCAGGGTGCATTTGCCTCCACTGAGGCTGCCAAACTCCAGTCCTTCAGAGTTTCTGACAGAAAAGTTATCACCAGTAATGAAAGCACTTTGTGTCTGGCTTGGAACTTTTTTTTCTTTTTCTTTTGGTACTAGGGATTTAACTCACAACCTCACATTAGCCAAGCAGGGACTTACGTCGTTGAGCTAAATCCCTGGCTCTTTTTCATTTTTTTGAGACAGGATCTCACTATGTAGTTCAGCTGGTCTTGTAGCCCAAGGTGGCTTCTTGACAATCCTCCTGATTCAGCTTCTGGAGTGCTGTGATCATAGGCATGTGCCACCATGCCCAGCTGGTTTTTTTGTTTTGTTTTGGAGACAGGATTTTGTAAAGTTGGTAATTTGGCCAGGCTGTTTGAATTTGCACTCATCCTGTCTCAGCCTCCTGAGTATCTGACAGTGCTAGTTTGTTTTTAAGGCAGGAGCTTTGGCACATGCTTTGTAATACAAACCTTCTGGAAAAAGAAAAAACCTTCTGGGATGTAGTGGTGGGAAGACAACAAATTCAAGCAGTTTAGCAACTTAGCAAGACCCTGTCTCAAAAATTAAAAGGGCTGGGATACAGCTCAATGATAAGTGGCCCTGGGTTTGACCATTAGGACCACAAAAATAACTATTTTGAGCAGGGTCTCATTAAGTGGCCAGACTGGCCTCAAACTTGCAATCCTCCTAACTGGAATTACTGGTAGGTATCACTCAGTTAGAGCAGCATTATTTGTAACAATCTACTGCAAATGTCCATCAATGAAGAATAAACAAAATATGATATACCCACCCAATGGAGTATTATTTGGCAATAAAAACAAGTTAAGCCAAAGTGTGGTGAACCTTGACACTGTAGTGTTAAGTGAAACAAACCAGTTACAAGACTGAGTAGAGCAGGTGTGGTGGTGTGCTGACAGTCCCAGAACTGGGGAGGCCTAGACAGGAGGATCATGGCAGTTTGAGGCCAGCCTGGGCTACGTAGTGAACTGAAGACTACCCTGAACTACAGTACAGTAAGAGTCTGTCTCAGAAAAAAAAAATGCAACTGGGTGAATTATATATTATGGTATATGAATCTTATCTCAATTGTTTTACAACTATTTTACAAATCTAAAACATCTATAGCACAGAAACAAAGTACACTGCTTGAGACCACACAGTTCCTATGCTGTGCTTTGGAATGGGATGGAACTCATGACTGCCTGCTTGCAAGGCAGGTGCTTATGCTGCTGAGTTAAATCCCCAGCCCCTTGCTGTGCTTGTTCAAAGCAAAGAAATACATTTCCTAACTGCAGGGTCACTATGGTGAACACTTTCCCTAAATGCTGGCCTTCACTCTGGATGGTCTGCTAGGATCAGAGGGGGCTGAGAACAATCAGTGGGGCATGGTGTCTCAGAGGACAGACAGAAGACAGCCATTGCCATTTGTTCCCTTAAATCTCTGTATTTTTTTTGGTACCAGGGATCGAACTCACGACTGCCTGCTTGCAAGGCAGGTGCTTATGCCACTGAGCTAAATCCCCAGCCCCTCTCTGTATTTTTTTTTTTTTTTGTACTGGGGATTGAACTCATGACCTAGCACTTGCGAGGCAGGTGCTTAGGCTACTAAGCTAAATCCCTGGCTAACCTCCATAGTTTTTTTATGCAGCATGTGTTTTAATGTTTTTTTTTTTTTGTTTTGTTTTGGTACTGGGGATTGAACTCAGCACAGCATGTGTTTTGTTGGTCTTCTCACAGTAGAATGGAAACCCCAGAAACGCTGGGAAGGATCACCATGAGTTGGAGGCAAGCCTGGGACACGTTGTGAGTTCAAGACAGCCTGAACTACTTGGGGAGACTTTGTCTCAAAAAAACCATACATACATACAGTCTAGGGATTTAGCTCAGCAGGCAGAAGCACATGCCTGGCAAATGCTAGGTTGTGAGTTTGATCCCTGGTACCTAAAAAAAAAAAAAAAAAAAAAAAAAAAAAAAAAAAAAAAACCCAAAACCAAATCATACATACATACATATACATAAATGGTGGTGCCAGATCTAGTGGTATATCTGTAATCCCAGGACTCTGGGAGGTTGAGGCAGGAGGACTGCAAGTTCAAGCCGAATTGGTCAATTTAGTGAATTAGCAAAAAAAATGTTTTTTCCCCGGTACCGGGGATCAAACTCATGACCGCCTGCTTGCAAGGCAGGTGCTTACGCCACTGAGCTAAATCCCTAGCCCTGAATCAGCAAAATTTTAACAATTAAAATTGTTTTTAAAAATTTTAAAAATGAAAATAAAAGGGTTGGGGATAGAGTTTAGTTCAATCCCTAATATAACCACCTTCCCACATATGAAAGTCAATTCAAGGAAAAAAAAGTAGGTTTCTGACTTGGCAACTGGAGATAGAGATGGAAACAGAAGGCAGATGGGGTCAGACAGCAAGATCCTGATGGCCCAGTTTAGGTTATCTGGTGGATGGGAGAGACCTAGGGGAACTGCACATGCAGATGTGACCCTTCTGTGAAAGGCCACATTCTGATGGCTCTGGCATCAAGTAGGCAGCGGACTTCTAGGACCAGAATGGGCAGTGGGATCTGGAAACATCATGGCTATCTCAAAGGATAGACACGGAAGTGGGTCTAGTGGCTATATTTCCAGAAGCTACAAGAACTTGCAAGCCAATCCTGCTTGGTCATGTTTCTGACTTACATTTTTGTAACAGCCATGAGCCTTCCCCAGAAGTCCTGGGTTATGTGTGGTGGCGGTGGCAATCGCTAAAGCAATGAAGCCCACTCAATTTTGGGGACCCAGAAAAGCTGGTTCTAGCAGATGAGTTTAGTAGTCACTAGTTAAAGACTAAATTTTTTCTCTCCTTTGACATATCACAGAATTGAACCCAGGGCCTCTGCACTGAGCTATGTATCACAGCAACCTAAGGGCCAGGGATTTAGCTTGGTGGTGGAAATGCCTGCTTGACAAGTGATAGGTCATGAGTTTGATCCTTGGTACATATATAGCAGCAACCTGCCCTTTTTTGGGGGGTAGGGAGCATCAGGGATCAAACTCACGACCTTGTGCTTGCCAGCAAGCACTTATTTCACTGAGCTAAATCCCTGGCCTCCCTACCCTTTCTTGGAGACAGGGTATCACTAAAGCCAAATTTTCCCAGCCAGGCTCATAATTGGGACCCACCTGCCTCAGCTTCTCAAGTGCTGGCATTACAGGTATGCACCACTACACTCACTTACAAAGAAAATGGTTTAAGTGCAAACTGAAGTTGTAAAACAATGTTTTACAGAGTGACTCCTATTTTTCAAATATTTGGAGGCACCTGAGATCAGAATGGTGTCAAAAAGATAAAAGGAAAAAGCATATAGTAAGTAATCTTTGATAATAAACTGTAGACTTAATTATAGTGACTATTACTTTGAAAAAAAGCAGGTTTGTAAAAACCAATCTTTTCTCACAAAATTTATCATGTTTGTACTGTAGGTGTTAGCAAACCACACAGGAAGGGATGAGAACAAAGGATTATTGACAGAGGCTACCCTCTGGGGAAAGGCAGGGTTGGACAAGGTTGGCAAGTGAAGGGAAAATTTGTAGTTCCACTCAGGATCTTTTCATATATATTTTTTTATACCAGGGATTGAATTTATGACCTTGTGCTTGCCACGCAGGTGCTTACACCACTGAGCTAACTGCCCAGCCCTTTTTGTATTATTTGAATCTTCTGTATTCCTAGGTTGTAGAAAACAAAAAACTTTCACACCCAACAATGACCAGCCCACCATCCAAAAGTAGCAGATCAACCTCAACCCTTATGGGAAGGAAAGAAAACTTTTCAGGCAGGACAGGTCAGTATTGTCCACATCCTTTCTTTACCTCTGGCTGCAAGCTCACTCACGCTAGGCAACTCACAGACTGAAAGAGGAGCCAAGGGGCCTCATTGTAACACTCATTTTTATATAAATATCCGCAAGTCATGTTACAGAATAAACCCCACCGGGGGAAAAAAAAAAGTCAACTTTACGGTTTTGTTAAACTGAGCCCTGCCTTCTAGTTGGGCCCCAGCCTGGAGACACCTGCTGCTTTGGGAAGGCTGGGACTGCTGCGTTAGGCTGCTGAAGCAGCTGCCTGTGTGCCCACCCCTGGGCCAACCCCTTTCTTTGGTGTGTGGTACATGGTGACCTTTTCTGCCCACCCCCCAGCCTAGGGCAGGGTTCTGGAGAAGAGGGTTCTATGGGGCAGGGCCCAGGAGTCCTGGGGGCACTTGGAAATGGGATGGGGCACTGAGTCATTAAAAGGTGGAGTCTGAGGCTTAGAGGTGGAGCTTCTTGGAGTTGAGGACACAAGAGTTAACAGGAACAAGTTGGGTGGGGCCTAGGCTGTCAGTCAGGTGGGAAGTATTTTCCCTTCCTTGCAGTCTAGGTCCTCTAGGTCCCTTCCTCTGTGGGTTCACCTCCTGTTACACCCCCACATTCCCAGGAATGAGCCCTGGATTCCCACCTGTCCTTTCCCGGCTCTTGCCCTGCCACCCCTCCCACCACAGGAGCAGAGGCTAGGAACACAGCACCAGTCTGAGGATTCAATTAACCAGGAAGGGGACTGTTGGGAGGGGTACCCCTGTAAAAATGTACAAAAGGTTTTGGGAGGCTGTGGGAGATAAATATGTACATGGAACCCCCTTTCCTTTAGCCCCTCCTCCTCCAGCTCTTGGAGGGCATGAAAACTGGGGTGGTAATTGGAGGGGGGCACTTTGGCCTCTGGCTTAGTGAGCCCTTGGGGAGAGGCCCTTAGAGGAGAACTGGTGCCCCTCAAGAGGTTAGGAACCATGGTCTCTGAAATGAGCCCTGCTCACATATATCACACACCTCTCTCAAGGCTAGTGGCCTCTGTCCTCCCAGTGACCCCATGGTTCATGCGAGCTCTGCTCCCAGGTCCATAACCTCAGAGACTACGCTGAGGTCATGACCTTTGCCCTCTGGCCTTGCCTTAAAACTTCAGCTCCATGACCTTGCCAAAAGGAAAGAGGAACTAGATAGAGCTTTGCCCCTATCACTCCCCTCCCTTCACCTGTCAGCCCTGGCAGGGCCAGGGGCCCTGGGGGGAGAACCAGGCCGGGGGGCGGGCACAAGAGGGGGTGGTGCCCCCAAAAGGGCTCCTGGTGGGGTCTTGCTGAGAAGATGAGGGGTTCCTGGGGCCGCTGCAGGTGGTGGTGGAGGAGCCAATCGGCTATAGAGTAAGGGGTGAGCAGGCTCAAGACCGTAGAGACGGGCGGCAGCCACGGCCCCAGGTCCAGTCAGCTCTTCACCCGCCTCATAGAAACGGGGTGGCCTGGCTAGGCGTGGAGGACCTGCCAACCAGGCTGGTTCTAGGAAGCCAGTGCAGCGCTCGGGTGGACTAGGGCCCAGGAAGGGGGGTGGCCGTGGCCTCTCAAACAGCAGATGAAGGCCCTGAGGCCCGGTGGCAGCAGCAGCGGCGGCGGCGGCAGCGGCAGCAGCAGCGGCGGCGGCAGCGGCAGCAGCAGCAGCCTCCTCCTTCCGCTCTTCCTTTACCCGCACGGACTCCTTGGTAGGCCGAGCCGCTTCCTCACCGGCCCGGGCCTTGGGAGTAGCAGGAGAAACCCGGAGCTGGGGCCGTGAGAAGGGGAGGTCCCTGGGGGGTGCAGAGGGAGAGGATGAGGGCACCCCAGAAGAGTGGAGGGCTGGCGAAGTGGAGCTGTGGGGTTGGGAAGCGCACCTGTCCTTCTCCTCCTTGGTGATTGAGGACTCCCTCCGTTCCATAGGCCGCTCCTTGTCCGAGCCTGGTGTCCGGGCGGCCTCAGGGGGCCGGACCCAGGCCGGGAAGGCCAGAGGACTGCGGTGCAGGCGGCCCCATGGGTCTGGGGGGGAGGCGAAGGCTGGTGGGGCCCCTGGGCTTTCTTTTTGGGCAAAGACAGCGCTGGAGTCTGGGCAGAGGGAAGAGCAGAGAATGATAGGGGCCAAGGAACAGAGGGCCCCATGTGCAGGCTTCCTCCCAGGCCGTGCCTAAGCATAGGACCCCAGTGCTGCAGCCCCCACCTCAATCTTTCCACACTCACTGAATGTGGGGCTGCCTAGGCCTCCAAAGGCCCCGTTGGAGAGGGCAGCCAAGGAGGCAAAACTTGTGGGACGCCCAAAGGGATCTGCCGAGAAAAAGGCAACAGTCAAAGCCTCAAGCAGCCAGCTCTGAGCAGGCACAAAAAGCAGGTGGGTACGAAGTCAGTAAGCAGGCCCTTTGAGCCCTTGGTCACTTGGTTTTAAGTATGTGCTGAGCTCTTTAGTTGGGCAAAGCTTCCCTTCATATCATGACATTCAGTCTCACTAAGGCCCAGGAGGCAGATGAGATCATTCCCACTTTTAAAACGACAGAACAGGATCAGAGAGGTGAAATGACTTCCCAATGGTCACCTAGCAATGAGTGCTACCATCAACCTGATGTGCCTCTCTAAAACTCCCCTCCCTGGATAGCCACCTGGACCTGGCTTACATTTCTGCTGTGTAGCATGCTACTTGCCCGGGGGTCTCTGCTGGCTTCTCCACACTGTATGTGCAGGGGCCCTTCTTGGCCTGACTCAAACTTCATGCACAGGTCACACAGCCATCAGAACTAGCCTATCTTTCACAGGAAACTTAGCTTCCCTGCCAGGAATGCCTATGTGTCAACAGGCTCAACTTTTGTCCTGCACAATCAGGGTTAATGACCCCAAGAAGCCTGTGCTAAGTTCCTTAAGGGCAAGGGACTATGCTCTTCTGTGGGCCTGTATTGCCTCTCTCCTCTACCTGCTTTCCTAGGTGCCACACACTCCCTACCATCACTGAGGAACAAAGTTTGAGTTGGCAAATAGAATCACTTTGACCTTCCCTACTCACTTAGAGATGAGAAAATCATGGCTCAGAGCTGGTAAAGTAACTTGTCCAAGGTCACAAAGCAAATGGAAGGTCTATGCCATTCTAGTTATCTCTTGGGTCTGACTTCCCATTCCCACCTCGACAACATCCAGAAGTCAGGAACAAGGCCTGGGTTATCCAGTATGTTCTCGGCTCTTACCAATGTGGGTGCTAGGGCTCAGGAAGGGTCCGTGGGCCCCGGGAGCTGCTGTGAAAGGGTTGGCTGCAGCGTGGACGGCACCTAGGGCAAAGAGGTGGGAAATTCTAATGAGGCTGAGTGGGTGCAAGGTGGACCTCAGGCCACAGATGGGAAACCTCAGACCCTGAGAGTTGGCCAGACTTACCAGTTGCAGTGAAGAGGGAGGCTGGATGGGAGAGCTCCTGCCCAGGGGGCAGGGCCCCATAGGGCCCTGGAAGGCAGGGCAGGAGGTCATTCCGAAAGTCAAGCTTGTGGGAATCACCCTGCATGGGACACAAGGAGACCGGCAGTGAGAAGCCAGGTCTGGTCTTTTTTGTTGTTGTTTTTCTTGTTTTCTGCACCTCTTAGGTCCCTGCTCTTGGCATCCCACCCCTAGCTCCCCTCCAAGGGCTAGTGGCCACCAAGAGGGTGCTGGGGTACCCTTTTCTTCTTATCTGAAGAGATTTCTATGACCATTCCTTTAACTGGCCAGAGAATACAGGTGCTAATTGTGTAGCTGCTCAGCTGTGACAGGAATAGGAGAATGTTACTAAGATTCTGCTGAAGGAAGATACCCAGAGTTCAGGCCACCCCTGACTCTCAGAGCCACTCTCCCAAGCCCTCCAGCCCCAGTACCTTTATCTTTTCCTGGTGTCTCAGGATCATGTAAGCCAAGCGCACGTGCATGGCACACCATTTCCCTGGCTTCTGCCGCCCCAGAAGGATGACCAAAGGGAAAGGGAAGGAAAGAACATTCATTCACTCATCACCCACTCCAGGCCCAGCCCTGGGCCCAGCCTTGCCACACAACATCCCCACTCATAAAAGCCTAGGAAACTGAGGCTCAGAGAGATGAACTGTCTTGCCCAAGGTCCCGTGGCCAGTTACTTCCGAGCCCAAGTCTGTAACTTGAAAGACCTTTAGTATCTACTGTTTCACATCTGGCTGCCTCCACGTCTTGGGTTGCTTGCTTTTTCCCAAGCAGGACCCACCCTCTCAAGCCAAACACCCTGACACCAGCCCCCAGCCTCATGCAGCCTGAGGTCCTCACCAAACTCACCCTCAAAGGTGGCCGGAAATGGTCAGGGATCTGGAGATGGCAAAGGAGAGATTGTAGGCAATTCAGACCTGTTTCCTGATCTTGGTGTCTCAGCTCTGTAGTACCCAGCCACCCCTCACTACTTCCAGAGACCTTCCTGCTATGTAACAACTTCTCTTGCATTCCTCCTGCTACAGGTTTTTTCTTCCAACACCAGACCCCAGGGAAGTGCCCTGATGGGAGGGTTAGGGAGTGGCTTGGGGCACGCAGGACAGCTTTCTCAACTGGAGAAGCTATCAGATTAACAGGTTTTATTTTATTTTTTGAGACAAGGTCTTGCCGTGTAGTCCAGGCTGGCCTTGAATGCACTATGTAGCCCAGGGTGCCCTCACTTGCAGTGATCCTCCCGCCTCAGCCTTCAGAGTGCTGGGATTATAAGCACATACCATCATGCCTGGTGTTTTTTTTTTTTTTTTTTTTGTCTTTTTCATTTTTATCGGTACCAGGAATCGAACTCACCACCGCCTGCTTGCAAGGCAGGTGTTTATGCTGCTAAGCTAAATCTCCAGCCCCCCATGCCTGGTTTTATGAGCTTAGGGATCCACTTAAGATTTCTTTAGGAAAAAACACCTTTTAAATATGTTGGAAAACCTCTGGTCTCATTTACTCTTTTTTTTTTTTTTTTTGTCTTTTTCCTTTTCATTGGTACTGGGGATCGAACTCACAACTGCCTGCTTCAAGGCAGGCACTTATGCCGTTGAGCTAAATCCCCAGCCCCCTCATTTACTCTTTTGTAAACATGTCCTACGCTTTTTACAATGCTCCAAAAGTCCTACGGTCTAAGGTGGTCACATGTGCAAAGAAGGTAGGATGGTTTAGGCTCCCAGCCACTTCACGAAGGAGAAGCTTATCTTTTAACTGTTTTATGGATAAGGATTCCTCAGTATGATGTCATTTTGAAATAGGAAAAGAAAAGTTTTGTTACTTCAATTTGAAAATCTCTACAAAAACCACTGTCCTTTAGCTAAAGGACAACTCAGTGGTAGAACACAAGCTTAGCATAAGTGAGGCCTTGAGTTTGAGCCCTGGGACTACAAAATGCAAAACTACTACCCTAACAATCATCTTACTCCTTGGACAACCTCAGTAAAACTCCTGTTTCTCATGTTTGGATAATTCTTTTGCACAAATCTTCTCTCCTTAGACACGGGGGATAACCCTGACCATATATTAAAGGGAGGAACCAGTGCTTCACTTTCTCTAAGTCAACCTTGCTCTCCCCTCCTTCCAGCTTCCCCAGGACCTGCCCTGGCCCCCCTCACCTGTGTCCCCTTTTGGGGGAGCCCGCTTGGCACTGGCCCCAGTCGTGGTGGCGGCTCAGGGTTCGTGCTCTGGGAAAGGGGAGTGAAGGGATCAGACAGGAGAGCTGGCACCAATTATAAAAGAATCAAGAAACAAGCTAGGGGATGGGACAACAGAAAAGTGCATGGCTTTGCAAAGAGCTAGGTGCAGAAAGGAAGGCAGGAGATTAGGCATGGTTTTGGGGAACAGGAAGTAAAACCAGAGTATCTGGGTTTGTTAGGGACAGGACATAGTGGTGCCATCTGCATTGAGAGCTCACCTTGGGCTGGAAGGCCCCCTGCAGGGAGCCAAAGGAGACAGCCGGTGGGAGGCCCGGAGGAAGCCCGGGCACTGCGGGAGGGAAGGCCGTGTATGGCTGTGGAGAGAAGGGGACTAGTCCAAGCAGGGGGTGGAGGTGCAGCCCAGGCCTAGTCTACCCATAAGTCCTCTAGTTTCCACCCTAAACCCTCCAGGGAGCTCTCCCAGCTTCAAGGGTCTGGCTTTTGGAGAGGAAGACTGGACCCAACAATCAGGGCCCCATGCAATGATGTGGCCATGCCCACCACACACACACTCCCCCACACACTCACATTGTGTCGGAAAAGGCCTTCCATCTTTCCTGGGTATTTCTCAAACTAGGGAAGAGAAGGGAAGAGTAAGCTGCCAGCCAGGGAACCAGGACCTTCCCCTGGGAGCCACACCCTCCCCCCAAGCCTCTGGGTCAAATCACTAGCCCAAGGAAGAGCTCACCATGTGGGGACCGTGGGGAGGCAGCAGGCCCGGGGGGTAAGGGGTGAAGTGCTGGTGGGTGTGCTGGTGGGTGTGCTGGTGCTGATGGTTGTGCTGGTGGAACTGGAAGGCCAGAGGCCGGGCCGAGCCTCCTGCCCCCACCACCTCAGGGCCACCCTGGGCATTCAGGTAGCGAGAGTTCAGGTCCTGGCCGATCAGGTCCTGCTCTGTGGGAGGGGAGGGGGAGAAGGCTTTAAAATCTGTCTCCACCATATCAGCCTCCTTGACCCCAGGTAACTGGCTTTCCCCCTGGCCTTGAGCCACTCCCTCCTTAAGCCCTGCTGTTTGCTGTGGCCCAGATCCCCCAAAACTGCTGGGGCCCAAGCTCAGAGTCATGGTCCCCCACCCCCCCGGGGCCAGGACCCCAAACTCACCAGAAAGGGCGTTAGCAGCTGAGGCCCCAGGGTGCCCTGGCACCTGCAGCAGGGGTGGAGGTGGGGGCAGGGCAGGGCCAGGAGAGAACAAGGAGGGGTGGTGGGGTGGTGGTGGGGGCCGCAGCCCAGGGGGCGGAAAGCCGTGGGTGGACAAAGGCAGCGGGAGTGAGGGCGTCGGGGGCCGGTGGGTGAGCTGCGTGGACGAGGAGGAGGCAGATGAAGAGGAGGAGGACGAAGAGGATGATGAGGGGGGAGGCTGAGCCACGGGAGGGGCCGGGGCCTTGGGGGGCGGCCGTGAAGAGCTGGGGAGAGAAGTGGGGAGATGAGTGAGGGGGTTGGGAGGTGCCAGCTCTGACAGGAGGGGGTCAGAAACCTGGGTGATACCATGACCCTGGTTCTCCAAACTGGGAGATGGCAGAACCCAGCCCCCAGGATCTCCTCCCAGGGAACCCATTCTCAGACTGAGGTGCCTCCCCCAAAGCCCCCTTTTCTCCCTCTCTAAATTTCTTTCTCCAAGCAGCTGCCTCTCTCTCTAAATTTCTTTCTCCAAGCAGCTGCCTCTGCTGTCTCCGGCCACGTAACTTTCCCTCTTCTGATTCAACCACAGCACAAAACAGATCATTGATTTTGACGCTTAATTACAACAGGCCATCTGGGTCCCACCCTAAGACAGTGGAAGCAGCACCAAGCTGGCCTGTCCTGGGAATCAGGAGACCTGAATTCTAACCCATCTTGCCATGAATGCCCTGGGTGACCTTGAGCAAGTCACTGCCCCTCTCTGAGCCTTAGTTTTCTTAAGAATGGTAACAATGATAATGACGATGACACAGTGATAGCATCAATAATAAACAGTATCAGTTCTTACCCTGTGGTGAGCACTTACTGTAGGCCAACTGCTGGCACCTGCTTTATAAGCTAACACAAGGCTCCAACCTTTCACACCACATTCCCAAATGTCACCACAGCCATACAGCCATTCGCACTACACCACTTACTTAAATGTTTTTGGCCTCATGCTAAGCAGTAACATGTGAAATCAAGTTGAGGTACCAAACACGTTCTTCTAAAGCACATAAAAGCTAACTCATGGCAACTTTTAGCATTTACTCAGGTAAGACCTGACATCATTTCACCGCCCATTAAAGATGAGTGTACACACTTTGGGAAACACTGAACTCACTAAGAATTAATCTCACAACTTTAGGATGAACGTACCATTATTATTTCCTTTCACAAAGAGGAAATTGAGGCTCAGAGGGGTTAAGTGACTTGCCAAAAATCACACAGCAAGTAAGTGGCAGAGCAGGAATTTGAATCTAGGTCTGACTGACACCAAAGCCAGCATTCTTAATCATGTCAGCATTTCCCAAAGTATGTTCCAAACAACATTATTCCTAGCAGATGTGCCTTACAAAAAGTTCTCACCAGCAGCAAAAGTGGGAAACAGCACAAACTGGATTCCCTTACACACAAATGTTATCAAGAGCCCAGGTAAGTCCTGCAGGAATCTCTAAATTTACTTCACCCATTGTCCTTTTTCAAGTCATGCCCCACAGGGATCACATGTCCCAGCACAGAATGCAGGGGTTGGCACTAAAATAAGCAGACCCTTCTAGATCAGAGCAAACCCCTGGGCCACTCACCTGCCAGTGCTGAGGTCCAAGCTGCTGCCATAGGGAGAAGTGCGGAGGCCAAAGGGCGAGACCCGAAGCTGCAGCTGGGGCTGGGGTGGGGGTGGCAGACTGGGGGTGGCCGGCAAGGGTGCAGGGGGTGAGACAGGAGGCCGAGGGGCTGGTGGAGGCAGTGGTTCCTTTGGAGGGAAAGGCACTAGCAGCGGGTCGGGCCCTGGGGGCTGTTCCTGGCTCCGCTCCAGGCCCGACACTTTAGGGACCACGGAGAGTTTTGCTTCACAGTTCCCATTGAAGGTGCCGTGGGGGCCCGAGGCTGTGAGGGCAGGATGGTGGACATGCTCAGTTAAGGCTCACCCAATTTCCCTCCCTCACCTCCATTCCAGCCCTTGTTACCAACCTTTGCTGGTTGAAACAGTAAAGGATGGATCGAGGTCATCATCAGAGACCTGGGGAAGGACAGAGAGATGGTTAGACGGCAGTTGGATCAGATCTCCATCTAGGCAGGCCAACAGCCTCTGGAGCCCGATGGAAAGATGGGGATGGTAGGTCTGACCCATCAGTTTAGTTGAGATCCACCACACTGTGTGCTCCAGGGGGCTACATTTGGAGGGAGTAGAGCAGCTGAGCCCAAAAACCTGCTAGGCCAGGAGTATTGAAATAAGACCACAAAGAACTGGCAGAGAAGCAGCTAGATCAAAACTAGAATGTCACTAACTGCTAGCCCATAGGCCTGCCTAACCTATAGAGCTATTTGGTCCCTGGCTATCAGCAAAAATATTTGCTGATTTTTTGAGGGGAGGGTCTTTTTGTGACAGGGTCTTGCTATGCAGTTCAGGCTGGCATTGAGCTCACTTTGTAGCCCAGACTGGTCTTGAACTTCTCAGCTGATGATTTGAAACCTGGAAGATTCTTTATTAAAACCCAGACTTAAGGTTCTCTTGAGAATGGACTCCATTCTCATGTGGCAACAATCAGCTAGACTGGACTACAGTCATTTCTTTGAGATGAAAAACATTTCCTAGGTTGTTCTGATCCAGTCAACATTTGCAAGAAAGCAAAACATACACGGGAATGCAAATTTAGTAACTTAAAAGAGGTAGAACATTAGTTGCTAGAATGCATTAATTCAAAACAAGCAAATACCTATCCTACTAACAAACTGAAATATATTTTATAAATTGAGTTCTGATGGAAACTACAATGGTTTTATGTTCTCACTAGCATGACCATACCAAATTCTCATGTAGGAGATCCTGATTGCAAGAGCAGACAAATGGACAACACGAAGGACCATCTCAGTTTCCACAGTCACTCTAGATTCCTATGGAGACCTAATGGTAGTTTCAGGGGTTTTGAAGAGGATAGTACACCAAGATGTGGCCTTCTATTCTCTGGGCAGTAGCCCTGGTCATAATAAAAAGCCATTTACCCTCCTGACTCCCCCCTTCCTCCCAAAAGCCTAATCCTAGTTCAACCTGACTCATGTTCCCCACTCAAAGATAGGTGTCTGCTGTAGGCAGAAGGCCTTTGAGCAGTAGTCCATTTTACCAGTTGCCACACTGCCCACCCAAAGACTTCTAGCCCCACTCACCCTCTCGTCCAGATCACTTTCTGCATCACACTGAGGAGGAGGAGAGAGAGAGGTGTCAGGAGAGTGAAGATGAGTGGGGCACAATGGGGAAGGTGAGGGCCAGTACAGGTGGATGGCACTTACTATGTATCCAGCTTCCAGAGAGTGCCGGGAGAAGGCCTGGGAAAGACCAGAGTCCAGAGGTAAGTGAAGTGGACTGGCCAGGCAATTGAGTTTCAACTCCCAGGCATGAGGTCTCTCACGATCTACCTTCAATCTCTTTCTCCAGCAGCTTTTCAGGTATTACCTACTCCCCTTCTCAACGTTTTTGTCAATTTCTAAATACATTAGGCTCTCACATCTATGTGCTTCTACCCAAAACAACTTTTCTCCATTTCTTCTCTTAGTAACCTTCTGCCTGTACTTCAGGGCCTGACTAAGACATCCTAGGGGGCTTTCCCTAACCACAACTCTCCTCCCATCCCCCAGGCAGAAAGAGTGGCTTCCTCATGGGGGTTTCTGCACACCTCTCCCAGATCTCTGCCTGGGGAAGCTTCTCAAACTGTGGTCCAGGTGTTTGCTTGTTGACTGTTTCTTTCCGGCTAAGACTGCCACCACCTCCAAGGAAGGGCAGGGACCACATCTAATTTATTTTCAATTCAACTAAGTAATTCTCAATTATCAATATATTTAAAGTAGATACACACCAACCAAACCAAGTGGGTCGACTATAAACAACTCTTGGTCAGACTTGAATTGGAGGGAAAAACAGTCCTCAAATTTGCTTTTTTGCTTTCCTCTCTGGGATTAGAGACTGGGACTAGAGTTTATGATAGAAGGGCAGCGGTACTCCTGATAGAAAATGGGTCCCCAAAAAAGGACATTTCACCTGAACAGTTTTAGGATGAGGTTTTCAGACAAGCTCACCTCTTTCCTTCTCCGCTTATTGGGCCATTTGCGGGGCCGATCCCCAGGGGGCCGGCCAGGCTCCCGATCAGAGCTGTCCCCTGGCTCCCCAGTGGCCCCACTGGAGCCCCCCCTCTTCCGTTTCCCAGAATGCTTCAGCCGATGTTCCAGTCGCTCTGGGGGCTGAAGAGATGCATCCTTCTGTGGAGAAGAAGGTGGAACTGAACTGGATGGAAAAATGAAAGCTCTCCACCTCTCTGAGGGTGACCAGACTACCAAACAGCCTTACAGGCCAGAAACCTTGCTGGTCCCTGGAGACCAGCTCTACCTCCTCCCACCCCAGGGTGGGGCAGAGATCTGGCCAGAGGAGCCGGTTGCTCTGGTTTGGGGTGCCAGCAACCCCCAGGCACCCTACCCGCGTCTCGGTCCCTCTCGAGCCCCCAAGGGCCGCGTTCGCCCTTCAGCCCCACCTGTAAGGCCTCGAGGCTGGCGAAGCTGGCGATGGCAAAGCCATCGATTAAATCCTCCTCTTCTTCTTCCTCCTCCGGCTCCTCCTCGGCTTCCCCATCGTCGGCGCCCCCCTCTTCCTCTTCTTCCTCCTCCTCCCCGCGGCTGCCCGAGCCGGCGGGCCGCTTCCGAGCGCGGGGTCGTGGGGGCCGAGGCCTGGGTCGGGGCCGCCGCCGCCTCGGGCCTCCGGGGCGCTCTCCGGACGAAGCCGACGACCAAGGCCTGGCGGGCGGCGGCGGCGACGATGAAGACGAGGAGCCGCGCGGGGCGGACAGCAAGGCTCGGGGTGCGTCGCCTCCTGGCCCTCGGCGGCGCCTCTGCTCGCGGTCACGGTCCCGGCGGGAGCAGCGCCGCCGCCTTCGCTCGCCCTCAGCCGCCCAGCCTGGGCCCGGGGCCGCGGCCGTCTCCATGGCGACGGCCCTCAGCGCCGCATCCGGAGGCGGCGGGGCCGGGAGCGGCCTGTCCGCAGGCCCGGGGTCGCAAGCGCGGCGCTGGCGACCACACAGGGACGGGAAGGCCACGGCTTCCCCTTTAGAGCAGGATCCGCTGGCCCTGAGCTTGCCCCAAGGCCAAGGCCTGGAGAGCCGGCGCCGCCCCCGGGGCGACAAGCCCGAGGGCCCCCCCTGGGGGGCCGGCGGGGCCGCGACGGCGAAAACGGGGCGGCCGTCTCTTTAAGATGAGGCCTCAAGTTGTCCAGCCCCCGGTCCCTTTAAGGCTACCCGACTGTGTCCGGCCGGCCTAGTGCGGTAGCCGCCCCCTGCCAGGGGTCGAGGATAGTCTCCCGGAGGAAGAGGAAGGGCCACCCCTTTAAAAGGGGCCGAAATCTCGACCCAAAACGCAAACCTCCCCTTTAAAAATGTCTCAAGTCCTCCGGTTAAGAGGCCACCCCTTTAAGGAGTCTAGAATCCTTCAAGCAGCAAACCGTCCCTTTAAGGGTTCGCGAGTTAAGTTTCTAGTCCTCCACAAGCTGCCACTTCCCCTTTAAGCTGAATTTAAAGGACTTGTAGCGTGGGCGGGGAGAAGAGGTGGGAAATCCCACTTGCTCCAATTTCCCCAACAGTCCAGTTCTCAATTTGTCAGCTTCTGTTCGACAGCTTTCCCTTTAAGGCTGGCAGCAGAGTCGGCCGAGTTCGACGACCACCCCTTTAAGGAGATTTAAAGGGGCTTCCTCCAAGCCCAGCAACACCAGCCTCCGCCTCCAGTCGCCATGAAAGGCGCGAAGGGGGGCGGAGCTGAGGGGGGGGCAGCCCTCCAAAGTCCCGGATGTGAGGCAACGGTGACGGGTAAAGCTTCTTTGTCCGCCGACATAAAAGTCTCTTCCTGCTTTTCTCCGTGTCTGACTTGGGCCTTAAGGGATCCGGAACGGCCGTTGGGCACCGAAGGAGCTCCAGCGCACCCTCCCGTCGTCTCCTTTGGAGTCTTGGGCCTCTTCGCCTGGATCCTCCTGCCCCTCCTCCCTCTTCCTCCTCAGCCTACGCCTCCTTCCTCTCGCTGCCTCCTCCCACTCTCCGCCCCCTTCCTTCGGGCTGCTGCAAGCTCAGTCGTTGATAGGGTAGGAAGTACTATACGTCAACGCGAAGGGCGGGGTCAAGCTATTGGGAGGGGCTATGTAACCGCCCCCAAATCTTTGATTGGGTTACGTCAGTTATCCCCGCCCTTCCTCAAGTCTTGTGACTCGACTGATGAGAAGTAGGTGTTTGCGGCAGTCTCCAACGTGACCCGCCTCTTCCTGCTCTTCGTTTATTGGCCACCTTCTGATGGTGTAGACGCAGAGTTCACTAAGGATTGGAATACACTGGCAGAATCTTAGAGGGCAGTTGGCCACTAGGTGGCGCGCGGCTGTTAAATGTGCTGTTGTACCACCAGTTACGTCGCGTCTCCTTTCGGCCGCTCAGCTGCTCAGCGCTTTGCGCATGCGCTCGGCAATACCGGCCCTCCCCCCTCCCCAGCCTGCGGTTCGGAGGGTCGCTCGGGAGGTAGGGGTGGCCTAGGCTCAGGGGCGGTATACGTTATTTGTTATCTCCCGGTGCTAGAGTACTGGTCTCCACTCTCCGAGTGATACCAAGTACAAAAACACCTTCGTTTGTGTGCTGCGCACGTTTTCACAGATTAGTTCACCACCAGATGTGCTGTCCTAGCCCACCTTAACGTATTATTGTGGGCAGCGCGCAGCAAGCTCCGTATCTGCGACTCGGTTCTCACAGGGCTGTGTGCAGCTCAAGTACATCTGTTATCCTAGGTGAGGAATTACGGCTGTGCACTTAGCTCCAAAATCCAGCAGCAGGTCTTAGGGCCTTTGTGTACTCTGAGCCTTTTAGTCTCCTTTGATTTTTTTTCTTTTTTTGTGGTCCTGGGGCGGGGGGGGGGGGACACGGACACGACAGAATTCAGAGGCTATTGAGCTACGTACATCTTCAGCTTTTTTAATTGTATGACACGGTCTTGTCTCAGTAGGCCACTCAATCTAGGCTCAAATTTGTGATTTTCCTGCCTACCCCTACCCAAACAGCTGGGATTATACGCAATGCAACACCATGCCAGGCTGTGTCCTTTATGTAAATGAATTGGGAGAGCCCTAACCGGCAGCTTTTTCATAAATAACCATCCTTAAAAGAGACGTCTCAGGGGTTGGGGATTTAGCTCAGCGGCATAAGCGCCTGCCTTGTAAGCAGGCAGTAGTCAGTTCGATCCCCGGTACCAATAAAAAGGAAAAAGACCAAAAAAAAAATAAGTCTCAAATCAAGGTAATTACCAATAACCATTCCTTTTTTGCCCTATACCCTTCTCTCATGTTCCTTGGCACCACTTCCTTTTCCCAGATATGTGAAGGAAATCAACATATATCAGGCAATATGGCAAATCTCACATTCAGCTAGTCAAAAAATCAGAAAACATTGAGAATTTTACTAGAAATATAGAGAAAAAAATATAACTGCCTCAGAAGTTTCCCATCCCTCCACAGAGATAGATGGACAAATAGTTGCTTTCCTTCTGTGGTAGACCGATGGAGTTCCTAGGACTGATGGGGTCTCTCTCCATCCATCTTTTCCTCCTCTAGGAGCAAGGCATCTAGTTCCTCCAGCCGCTTCCTCAGCAGAGGTCCCACATCCCGGCTGGGTGCCAGGTTGGGAGTAACAGTTCTGCCAGCTGTAGCCCTGACCCCACGGGATGGCCGGCGGGATCGAGGAAGGCTGCTGTCTCGAAATTCTACAGCCCGGCGGAGCTTCCTGGAGCTGGTGAAAATCAGAGTCCCATTGCGCTCCCGTGGTTCCTCGAAGATGGTCTCAAAGGTCCTGGACCAGGCAGGAACAGGCGCTGTTAACCAACATGCCCCCTGGTTTTAGCCTTTTCTACCACCCTTGAGCCTTCCAAGTTTCTCACCTCCTGGTTGTGGGTGACTGATAATTCTTATTGGTATAAATTTCTTCCAAACTGAACTCCTTCTTGTTCAATCTGGAAGCAAAGAACAGAGGCTACTGAGAAACCTCAGGCTCACACAACCTGAAGAAGGGATAGGTAAACCTAGGCTATATTTTAGTTTCCAGGATATGCCAGGGCCAGGAGTGCTCTCTGAGACAGATAGGGAGTTCCAAGCACAAACTACATCAAATTAAATCTCCCATCTAGACTGTTCTGCCTGAGAGAAGCAAAGCCACACTTCAGAAGATAAGAGCCTCCACCTGTCTGCCCAAGGAAGTACCTTGCCCAGTGAGCTTCTCACCTGACTGGTCGAGGCAGCCCCATTGGTGTAAGATTTAGTTGAGGACGGTTGGGTGTCTTGCGTATTCTGAATCTGGAAACCTTTCCCATAGCCTGAAAAATATGACAAGATGAAAGAATGGCCTGGGCTCTGGGCCCCGTGTCCTCCCCCTCATCTGTACTCGTACCTTGGTCTCAGGGTCTGAAAGCACCTGGTCCTTTGAGGCCCTTAGCTCCTTCCCTTTGGTTGAGCCCAGTCTGTAAAGGTCAAGACTCAGTGGCAAAGAGGATTCACAGCAATATCCCCATCTCCTGCCCACTGGATACTGAGGGAAGGAAGCCAGGTTCTGGTTGTGACCAGGGCTTCAAGGAGAGTTCATCAAGACCACTACCTGGGTTTTGCTGGTTCGGAGAAGGAGGAAGTGGATGCAGTAGATGAGCAAGACGTGGCTCGAGAGGGGGAGGCTCCTACTCCCCCAAGAGGGAAGACCTCTTTCCGGAGACAGGGAAGAGGGGGTGGTGGGGCTCGGGCCATCTCCCCACCACCCACAGTGTGCCGCCGTGGCCGTGACTGGCTTGGTTGGGGTACAGAAGAGGGCCAGGTACAGGTACCTGGGCCAGGGAGCCCCAGATCAGGGCAGGAGTGGCTTCGGCCCAGAGAGAGTTTAGGGAGATGTGCAGGGACATTGTGGTCCTGAGCTCGCCACTGGCGGATAGGGGGTCGGGGGCTGACAGATGTAGTGGCTTCCACAGCCCTGCACTGCTCAGCCTCTGAGATGGCAATCTTCAACTCCAGCTTCATGGGGGGAGACGGAGGTGGAGGCTCTGGGGTTTTGCTGGGTGTGAGGAAGATATCAGCGAAACTCTCCAACTTGGAGCGCACGGACCGGAAGAGGGGAGCCAAGCCCCAGGGACTGAGGCGGGTCCGTAAAAGGCTGGATGGTGGTGGAGTTGATGGGGGCTCCAAAGCAGGATCTGGGGCTGAGGAAAGGAGAGCATCACAGGTGGGCATTTCTCAGCTGCAGACTTGTAAGTCCCTCCCCTAAACACTAATCTTAGTCCACAGAATAATCAGCCTACTCCTAAAACTTAAATCTTACAGTTAGGAGTTGGATCTCCAGCCTTGGCAGTCTAAATTCCATTTTCATATACCATGTTCTTCCCTGGAAGGGGGCTAAGCCTCATCTATACCTCTGCACCTGACACAAGCTCAACTAGAAGCTGTGTATGGTGGTGAATGCCTATAAACCCAGTCCTTAGGAGGCAGAGGCAGGAAGACTCTTGTCAGTTAAAGGCCAATCTAGGCTACACAGTTCGAAGCCAGTCTAGACTACATAGCTAGACCCTGTACCAAAGCAAAGCAAACCAAACCTCAATTAGGATTTTCTAAACTCCTAAATCTCATTCTTAGAAGTTTTTACCTGGTGTCAGGCTGTCTGGACGGTGTGTAGGCAGCGTGGACGGCTGGAATGGAGGATCTAGTTCCCTGGGTTCAGGCATTGACTGGTGTACCATCACCATAGGCTCAGCTCTGAGATGAAGGAACAAGGTAAAGGCTGGGCAAGGGGCAGGTGCGGTTTCTGTGATCAGATTCCCGCTAGGCTAGTACTTCCCTTGTCCCTCAGTCCTCTGAAGGAGCTACAAGGAAGAACTGGTAAGTAAATCTTGAAGCCCTTAGTTCTGGATACTTGGGTGATGGCTATGGCATGGATACCTTGATAATCCCTTCCCCAGCTCTCACCTTTGTGCTGGGATGATGAAGTTGGGGCTCTCATCGACGAAGCCCTGGATATAAACATGGAATATTTGTGGAGAGGCAGGAAAGCCCTCTTTGGCCTCCCTAGCTCGCCATGTCCTGATTTATTCAGTCCCCGGATAGCCTCTTGGGTTAGCATCAAAGACTTTCTTATATAGTCTTTGCTCAGGCAGTGTCTGCCATGATGCTATCATTGTGCCCTGAAAGAAATCCACTCAGTTCAGGCTTCCTACCCTATCTTCTACCCCACTGGCATGCCTGTCCTAGGTGGACCCCTGACATCTGCAACTCTGTTTTCATACCTCTGCTGAGGGTCTGGGGGCACCAATATCTTCCAGCAGCACCACCAAGGTTGACTGGGGGGGCTGGTCCACATTTTGCAGAGGTCTGCTCTCTGGGCTAGGGGTTGTCCTTGATTGCCATCTCAGGGTAGGAGATCGGTGGATTTGATTTAAGGGATCTCTGCATAAAGGCAGTGAGTCAAGAGGCCTGGTGAGAGAACAAGAAGGTCAGTGGGCTGAGCAACAACATCCCTAACTTACTTCCCCTCCCTTGATACTCACCTAGCCTGAGAGGACCATTTGGCCTGCCTGGGTGGTGAGGTGGGTAACTGGTTACAGCCAGAATCTTGGTGGTTCTTGTGGCCCCATGGAGTGGAGATCTTTTGTTGGGTCAAGGAGACCTAGCAGAGGAAGAAGTATCAAAAGTAGGGGGGTTGAGGATGTAGCTCAGGGACACTGCATCTGCCCAGCAAGTTGGAGGAACTGAGTTTGATTCCTGGTAAAAAAAAAAATAATAATAACAAAAATAAATCATCTTGTCAAGAGCAAGAATGAGGTTGGACTAAACAGGGATGATGGTTTTTTTGTGCCTAATACTGCCCTTAGCCACAAAAGTCACAGATTATGGCTAGAATTCACTCAGCTCCCCTGAGGCAAGTTGGTCTGAATTAGAGGCTGACACCTGAGTGGAGGTGTGGGTTGTGAGTAATCTCATTTGGGCTGTTTAGAGAAATGAAATAGAGTGTTACTTTGGGCAGGTTTGCCTGATTTGGGGGCCTCAGTTTTTCTCTCCTGTGAATGGAGTCAATTAGCACAGTATGCTTCCCAAGGGAAAAAAGCAGACTCATAGGAATGTATAACAGGGAAAAGAGAAAAGATGTGGGTGGGAGGGAGGTGGACAGGGGAAAGGAAAAAAAGAATCAAGATATATTAAGTATATACACTTATTGTAGCCGAGTGTGGTGGCTCACGCCTGTAATCCCAGCATTCGGGAGGCTGAGGCAGGAAGATCCTTGCAAGTTCGAGACCAGCCTGGCCTACAAAGTGAGCTCAAGGCCTACTCGAACTGCACAGAGACCCTGTCTACAAAAAAAGTATATGCACTTATTCTTTACGATGAATGTAAACTTCATGTACTGCAAACATGTACTAATAAAATAACCCCAAAAGGCAACAAAACAAAATAGCAACCACACACATACAAACAAAGATATGACAGCATAATTTACTGAAATGGAAAGATGGGTCATGGTATAGAAGACATGTTACATTATGAGTCCATATGGAAATTATGGGAATATTTTAATAAAGTATGTAAATATATAAAATATGTAAATATATTAAAAGTAAAATATGTAAATATACTGTATAAAGAATTACAGGAATGTTTCCAGGTCAGTGGGAGGGGGGCACTGGAAACATGCTTAATCCTAGGTTGGAGTATCTGGAAGCCATGCAAGGCTCCAGCATTGAGGCTGCCTAGCTGATAGGCGTGAGAATAAATGTTTAGGCCTCAATCTCCTCAATAGGTATTTGGTTTGACTTTGGTACTGAGGAGGGATGTGGGGGGCTCACCATGTGGGAAGCCATGATATCTTCCAGCACCACGGCCAAGACCCGCCGAGAGGCCTTTTCCAGGGGAGAAGGGGATCCCCGCGGCTGCAGTCTCGGTCGTTTCGGGCTCCTGGCTTCCCATAACGCTCGAGCTAGGGGCTGGCGGCACAAACTCGGCCGGCCAGAAGGGCTGGAGTGTGAAAGAAAGAGGACAGTCGCTTGAACTTGTAGTTGGCTCTGTCGTTTCCCAGCACGGCCTCCAAGGTTCCCGTCTCCCAGGCTCAAGACAGGTGGGCGGGGTGCGCTCTCACCTGGAGTCCCCAGGCAAGTCCATGGGGGAAACAGCGGCTTCAAGGGGTCCCTGGGGGATCCCAGGCTGCGGCCTGGGGTGAGGGGGGAGCAGGGGAGCGCAGAGTGAGGGCCAGCCCCTCCTAGGGGCTCCGCCCTTCATGGTCCACCAGACGCTGGGGTAGATTATAGGCCGGAGCCCTGAGGCGCGGCAATGGCGCCCCCGACTGGCAGCCCGGAGAGGGTGTCCTCTCGCTGTCGCGGCCTCGATCAAATCACTCGTGCCCTGCCTGGCACCTGCCACGAGAATCTAGATAGCGGAGGGCCAAGTTCTCTCACGGCCCAAGCCTCTCGAGGCCTTTATCCCGCAAATTCTGCCCTGAGATCCCCGGGATCTGTTGGGATCCCAGTCCTGGGAGGTTCAGTTTCCGCTGAATCCCTCAGAGATGCTCGTCTCTCTCAGCAAGTGGCCGAGGACTTCAAAGCAATGCTCTCAGCGACGCTCCCCACCTCATCCCCTAGACTGGATCACTGTGGAAAGGCTCCCACAGCGTAGTTCCTCCAATCAGACACCGCGCGAGGTTTCTCCTCCCACTGTGAGCTTCGGCTCTACAAAGCTCCACTCATTTGGGGGCGGCCCGACTTTGAGTATCGTAGAGCTCAGTCCGGATCCCCGGGGATCCACTGTCAAGCAGATACCCTACTTCACTCCAACCTGGGGGAGGTCCCGCCCACAGACACCGTTCCACCCCCACCCTGGCCAAATCCCCGCCCAGCGTCCCGCAGCTTGGGACCAGGTGGTTCAAATGCCTCCTCGACCTCCCCCCTCTTCTTCAGCTGCCCTACCCAGTGCGCCGCTCACCGCCGCCTCCCGTGGATCTCGTTTTCCACAGCTCCCACGACCGGCTCCTTTAAAACCAGCCTCACCTAACACCGCCCAACCACTAAGGGGCTTCCTCCCTCAACCTCCCGGCGCCACCCAATCGCTAGACGCCTTCTTCCGGGTCGGTGAGAAACAAAGTGAAGCCACTGGACGGCCATCATTCTTAGGGGCAAGAAGCCCAATCAGCACCGCCATTATCGTTGAGGGCAGAGTCAAGCGTTAGTGTACCGAAGTGGCGTCATCTTTAGGACACCAGTCAGTGGCTGAATATTATGTCAGGTTTCTTGGGAAATTGAGGCCACCTTCGTGAAGCTAAAATCCCTCCACGATTTTTAAGGTTATCTTCCGGTTCTTTCGCTTTTAGGTCAATAAATGTAGAACGAGTGCTAACGATTTGTGAAATTTCCGATGGCCTAGAGAGTCCTCATTTAAAACTGGTTGCCGCACCATACAGAGCATCTCAGCCGGGTTCCCAGGGCCCAGAGACGCAGGCTGGTGTTGCCTCGGGCTCCAGTTTATGCAGTGTTCTGGAGACAGCAGGCTGCAGCCGAGGTGGGAAGGAGGCTGAGTTCGCTGAGCTTCACTTCACCCTCTTAAGGGGGCGGAGGTGTCTCAGTCTTAGAGGGGTCACTACAGGGGCCCCATTGCAGGAGCCCAGTAGCCCACCATAGCTTACCTCTTTCAAATCTGTGAGTCTGTGGCTCCAGTAGTTCTCCTTCTCTCAGAATTTTTGTTTCCCCCTACAATTTATTTTTTCTTGGTCTTGAGAATCGAACTCACGACGTTGCTATTGCCAGCCAGGCACTGTGCCTCTGAGCTGTATCTCCAGCCCTTCTTTCCTTTTTTCTTTTTCTTTCTTTCTTTCTTTCTTTCTTTCTTTCTTTCTTTCTTTCTTTCTTTCTTTCTAGTCAGTGTTTCACTGTGTAGTACAGGCAGGTCTTGGACTTGCAATAATCCTCTTGCCTCAGCCTCCTGAGTACTGGGACTACAGCCCGCCCTGAATTTCTTATTCAACCCTTATTTTCTGGCCTTGGAAGGAACCCAGGATCACTTACATGCTAGGCCTATGGTCTACCACTGAGCAATACCTACAGCTCTTTTTCTTTCTCAAAAAATTTTAAGGCAACATCTCACTAAATTGTGCAGGTTGGTTTTAAACTTAGCCTAGAGCTCTGTGTCTAATATCAAGGTACAGATAGCTAGGCATGGTGGTATGATCCCAGCACATGGAAGTCTGAGGCAGAAGGGTTGACTGAAGATCAAGACCAGTTTGGGCTACATGGTGGGTTCAAGGCTAGGCTGGACTACACAGTGATGCCCTGTCGCAAAAAATAAAAAAAGCCAGTTGTGGTGGTGCACACCTGTAACCCCATCACTCCAGGGCAGAGGCAGGAGGATTGCCATGAGTTTGAGGAAGCCAGGGCTATATAGTGAGTTCAAGGAGAGCCTGAATTAGAAAGGAAGGCAGTATCTCAAAAAATCAATTGATCTATCGATTGATAGATAGGGATAGATATACTCAAGGTGCAGAGACATTTTGTAGCCCAGAAAATTTTTCTCTCAAGGGACTGAGTTTGTTTCTTTTTTTAAAATTTTATTTAAGGAGAAAATAAAAAACAAAAAGGGTACAAGTTATACAGAATTTCAGAAAAAGTAAACAGGAAATCACTAGTTAATAGATTACATATTGTCATCTTAGAAATAGTTGTTCAAGTTACAAATTTAAAGCATATAAAGTGGACTTTCAAACAGTGAGATTGCAAACAGTTCTGTTCAATGATCCAACAAAACTCAGTAATATGGTCATCTTATACACTTAAACATAAATGCAGTTATATCCTTTGAGCACTTTCTTTTTCACTCTTTTGTACAATGATAATTACACATTTTGGGTTTTATTACTCCCACAGTTCTTACTTTTTAAAAAGAGAATAAAACCAAATGTGCCATAACAAAACAGAGTCAGTCAAATCAAAAGGATGGACATAATATATAATGTAAAAACAAAATACAAGGTGATTGACAATGGTTACCATAATGCCTCTTGCTATCTTAAAAAGAACTGCCTATATCATCAGTTATAATAAAATTAACAAAACAGTAAAAACAAAACCAATAAAACCAAAATATTGGAGACATTACAGGACTTGAAAAAAGATAATAGTCAAACTAGAATGGGCGTCATAATGAATCTTACTGTCTTCACAGTTGTTGCCTATACTCTTGAACTTGGTACTATCAAGCAAAACAGAATAGAGGAAAATCAGTCAAAACAAAACAGTGAGAGTAATACAGGATTTCAAATCAAGTTAATAGGAAATTAAAGTGGATTGCTATAATATATCCTGCTATTTTTTATTTATTTTTTCCCTTAATTAAAAAGATAAAAATAAAAAAGTAAATAATAAAAAAAGGAGATTGAGATAAAAGAGGACATAACAACAAAACAGCACAGGTCAGAACATAACCATTTAAGCAAAATAGTGTTTCACCACAAGATATCCCGACATAAAAGTAGTTACCATAGTGTCTCTTTCCTTGAAATCTTTGAGTATAACTTTGTATTCTGTAACATCAAACATATCAAGACAATGTAAAACCATTCAAGAGAATGACAATATTACAGGGTATTTAGAATCAACTAACAGAAAATGAACAATGGTTTCTGTATAATCTCCTTGTCTATAAAAGTTTTTGTTTATATTATCATATATAATAAAATCCAGTAAGATACAACATGTTAAGACCAATGGAGACAACAAAAGGGACTTCAAAACAAGATGATATTGGGGCTGGGGATTTAGCTCAGTGGCATAAGTGCCTGCCTTGCAAGCAGGCAGTTGTGAGTTCAATCCCCAGTACTGATAAGAAGGAAAAAGACAAAAAAACAAAAACCAATATGATATTAAATCAGCACTAGCTATTATGAAAACAAGAGTTTTCTCCAAAATGGCTGTTCCTACCATCCAATCTTCTCTGCCTCATTTCTGTTGAGCTCTTTTTCTGTTATTAGTTGTCAGTTTGTCTTCTTCATTTCGTTTTCTGCTCCATTCATTGTGGCCTCTCTGCCACTGTTTCTGGAATCTTGGTATTTTTCTTTTTTTAGAATGTCCTGCAGTATTCTCTGTAGAGTTGAATTGGTGGTTGCAAATTCCCCTTGTTCCTCTTTATCCTGGAAGCACCTTGTTTTTCCATCAATTTCTAGGGATAGTTGTGCAGGATATATCAATCTTGGCTGGAGGTTATTATCTTTCAAAGCTTGAATTATTTCCCCCCATGCTCTTCGTGATTTGATGGTTTGTGCCAAGAAGTCTGCTGTAATTCTGATGGGTGTTCCCTTGTAAGTGATCTGTTTCTTGTCTTTGATGGCTTTTAATATTCTGTTCTTATATTGGATTTCTGGAATTTTGATTATTATATGCCTGGGTGTAGTTCTGTTTGGGTTGTAGGTGGCTGGAGTCCTGTATGCCTCATACATCTGAGTATCTTTACCTTTTGCTAAATTAGGGAAATTCTCCTGGAGTATTTCTGTGAATAGCCTTTGTAGTTCATTTGTTTGTGTCCCTACTTCTTCTTCTTCTTTTTTTTTTTAAAGCCAGTCAAATTTAGCAGTGGGGGGTGGTATACCAACTTTAGTGACACTAATGTTAATAAGTTCTGATAACCCACTGCCATTGGACCAGTCCCTACTTCTTTTACATTCTTAATTCTTAAGTTATAGATCCTCTTATCATCTTCTAGCCTTTGTATTATTGCTGTTTGTTTCCTTGTTATTTTTAAGTTTTTTTCCTTTCATTCTCCCACATTACAAATCTGTCCTCCAGTTCAGATAATCTATCCTTAGTTTCTTTCAAGCTGTTATGCCAGCTTTCAATAGAGTTTTTAGTTTCCTGGTAATCTCTTTGAACCTGCTTCACGTATTCTATGTTTTTTCTATTTTCTCCATCAAACAATTCTCCCCTTTTTTTTCTGTTCTTCCATTCTACCATCTGTTTTTTCTTGGGCAGTGCTTAGCATTTCTCTAACTATTCTATTTATATCTTGCTTTACTTCATTAAATACTTCACTTTTGAACTCGTCTATGAGGCTCCGGAGATATTGCTTTATGTCTATTGGTGCCATGTCTGATATTGCATGTTTTCTGTCCTCATTCTTCTTTGCATTTACCTTTCCTGGATCAGTGTTCTCAGGACTGGGGACTGAGGACCCTTTCTTGTTGTTCCTTCTTCCCATACTTTTTGTTCCTTCCATACAAGCCTATATAGGAGGCCCAGTTTCTTTCTTTGTCAGTTACAGTTTGTTTGAATCTGCCGGCTAGGTGTTCCCGCCCACTGCAGTGTACTAGGGAGACACAGACCTGGGCAGCCTTTGCTGGGCCCATCCCTCCAGGTCAACCTAGTGAAGGCTTCACTGCTAAGGTGCACCGCCAGGTGCTGGGACCTGGTTTGGTCTAGCCTACTGGGTCTTAATCTGCGGCGTCACCCAGGCCAAGCCCTCCTCACCAATCCTGCTTGAGAGGGGAATATGCAATAAAGTCACTGTAATGTCCTGTTTTAGCTAGTCTGCCCGGTCCCAGGATGTCCTCTGTTGGAGCCTCCTAGTCTATGGAAGTGTCCCTGTTCCTCTCACTCACCACAGGTTGATACAGGGCTCCCTACCAGTCCACTCTCAACTCCATTCGCCAATTCCGCTCAAGGGACTGAGTGTGAAAGTAAAGAAACAGGGACAAGAATTTAGCTCAGCAGTACAAGTGCCTGCCGGCAAACACAAGGCCATGAATTCAATCTCTGGTACCATTAAAAAAAAAAAAAAGTATTGCATAGAAAGAACATAATCTGTAAGAATCCATGTTGAA